AGAGATCTAGGAAACCCAAAAAAGCAAATTTTTAATTTTTTTTTTTTAATAAAAGTGAACAAGCTATGAAAGAGGGCCTCGGAATCTTTTTTTTTTTTTTTTTTGTAATGGCATAAGTGAACATCTATTTAGATCATAACCACTTTTTTTTTTAACTTTTTAATAATTACTTGTATTCTGAGTAATTTGGGTAGCAATCTCTGGAGAAGTGACGTGTGGCCATATATTCAAACAACTGAATTAAAATAGAGGTACCTCATTAAAGGAGACAGTTACTATAGTGGAAAGGACACAGGATTTTATCAATGGCACTGGGTACAAGCCCCAGCTCTGACTCTTAGCAGCTGTCTCTGAGTCTCAACACCTTACTCTTTAAAATGTGAACATACACACCCATGATGCAGAGTTATTTTAAAGATTAAAAGAAATACGGTATTGTGCCTGCCTTTATACTTGACACATACAGAGCTTATGTAGACAAACTTTACTATTGTTTTTATATCTATGAATATGTATGGATATTTGTATGTATGTCTAATATACTCAAAAGTGATTACCACAAACCCAAAATTTAATCTGTAAGAAAAAAAAATCTACTTTAAATGATTTTAGGTAAAATAGGATTCATTAGATTTCTGGAATTTTACAGCTAGAAGAGACTGGCAATCAATCATACAGTCCCGCTTCCAATCCCAGAAATGAGAAAACCAATGCCAGAGAGTAAACATGACTTGGCCCATGTCATAAAGCTAAGTAGAAACTAGAGGTAACTGGAACTACAATTTCCTAATGTCCAATTCAGAGTTAATCCAGAACAGAGACTGACAAACATTTTCTGTAAAGGGCCAGATAGTAAATTGTTAGAATTTGTGATGCATACAGTTTCTGCTACAACTGTTCAACTCCACCAATGTGGAGCCAAAGCAACGACAGGCATATATGTAAGAGAATGAGTGTGGTTGTGTTTCAACAATATTTTATTTAGAAAAATAGGCCGCAGGCTGTCTTTGCCTCACAGGCTATAGTTTGCTGACCCCTGATCAGAAGAATAAGTTAACAGATGTTTAGCTAGAGGAAACATGATGGACATAATTCCAAATCAACACCTCTTTCTGCTTTCTATTGCCAATGCACTAGAAAAGTTGTGTGACAATGAAAGAACTCAGAAGAATAAGACTTAAATGTTGCTATTATGACTAACATCTTAAAATAGTATTTAGTAAACATCAATCTTGGCCTCAAGATTATTTTATTACTGAGTAGTAATTAGGATAATCCAAAAAAGAAGCTCTAAGAAAGCAGGAGGAGACTCAAAGAATTGGAATTCAAAATTATCTTGGCTAAATAATAACAGTGAAGAGAACTAAAATAGTAGTAAACATAAAATGAAGCAACAACTAAAACAGAAAATACTATGGAAAAAATAAAAGTGTTGTAACCTAAAGAAATAAGTAAATACTGCCATCAAAATTTACTGATTACAACTGAAAACATGTCTTATCTATCCAAGTAGTACTTTTACATTAGCAACTATCTCTCCAAGAGATCATCCTTAACGTCAGAATCAAAGAGCATGATGTTGGGGCCAGGCGCAGTGGCTCACATCTGTAATCCTAGCACTTTGTTTGGCAGAGGCAGGCAGATTGCCTAAGCTCAGAAGTTTAAGACCCACCCTGGGCAATATGGCGAAACCCCGTCTCTACTAAAATACAAAAAATTAGCCGAGTGTGGTGGCAGATGCCTGTAGTCCCAGCTACTCGGGAGGTTGAGGCAGGAGAATTGCTTGAATCCGGGAGACAGAGGTGAGCTGAGATCGTGCCGCAGCACTCCATCCTGGGTGACAGAGCAAGACTCTGTCTCAAAAAAAAAAAAAAAAAAAAAAAAAAAAAAAGGAGCATGATATTGGAACCAGGAATAATCTACCCGAAATAAGAACACCTCCAAAGATGTACCTTTCTGGTTTGCGTCAGGACCTCCTGATAACACTGGTCCCATGATCATAATCATCATAATATTCTTCAGACACATAAAGATCTCATGGAGGAAGGTGATCAAATGCTTTTTCCTTTCCATTGAGGATGAATGTGAAGAAATACCTATGCTGCAATATGAGGCAGAGATAAATTTCTTGTTCCTAAGAAGTATGACATATTGGAACGGGTTGGCAAAGGAATAGTGTTCAATCTTCCTCTAGGGAGGTTTTGAGAGAGTCTAAACTTTGCATCTGTTTTGCATGAGGTTTTCTCCCCAAGAGAAAGGGAAGTAGAAGAATTTTCAACATCTGAATTCTAAGGGAGCTGTTCAAATTGTAATTTTACATACTCAGTTGAACTAAATATAGTACACTATTTTCCCTAACACTTGTATTGCTCCCTAGTAGTAAATTGGTTGTTTACTTTTGAACATCTACCTTGGAGGCACTAAAGAGTAACAGGATGATCTATAATTGGAATTGGGTTCATTACACTGTACCAACTTGCTCCCAACATATGTTCTGTTTACACAATGACTCATTCAGAGTGTTCAGTGCTTAGTGCAAACAACTATGATCTTCCAATATTTGATTTCTCCTTGGGCTTTCACACACCTCAGCTTTGGTTTCACTGAATGATTTTGGAAGAGAAAAGGGCATAAAATAAAGCTATACTAATGAGCAAGAGATTGAGTGATAACTATGAAAGTTTTGTGTATACAACTTCTGCAACTCAAAGGGCTCTGATGGTGTTAGCAAAAAACCATTTAAATACCTTTGCCCTCTGTCAGGACACAATCAGAGCTGTTTCTTTAATATCACAGTATCATTGTCTGTTTTTAACTTTTCTATTTACAGAGTAAAGAAAATGTTTCACTTAATATTTAAAAGATTATACAATGATCCAATACAATACTAAAGCGCACAGAATAATGTTGTTCAAATATATAATATATATAGAAGACTTTTTCTACTTGTATATGTTCACTTAGAATGCAGTTAAAATTTATAGCTAAATCCAGCTATGAGAAAATCTTCATTTATTCAATATAGATCATGGGCATTTTATTTCTGTGCATCAACTTTTAAAAAGAGGGTTTCAATTATCACATAATGTTGACACTTTATAAATATTAGTAAAAAGTCAATGAAAATGAAGCCACTTTCATACTGCTAAAAATAAAATGTTAACTAAAAAAATACTGTTGGAAGACATGTATATACCACATTCATTACAATGGAAAGTAGAGAAATACCTGTTAGTTGTAATTGATGTCACAAACAAAATTTCCATAGAAGGAATACCATGAAAATTAGAACTAAAGCATATTTTTAAAAGTTCAATTGGCAGGATCCAAAAAAAAAAAATACCTACCCCTTGAACAAAGAAATTATATTTAATTTGTTTAAAGGAAAAGTCACTTTTTATGTTAAAACTCAGAAATCTCAGATTTTTCTCATTTATTTTCCAACGTAACATCCTCCAGGCTTTTTCACAGCAACCACATGGATCTAATAGACAACTCAGGCATGCGAACCAGTACACACTCAATTTTACCAGTTGCTAAAAATTGTTTCCTCTCACCCACAGCTTTGACCAGGTCACCCCTGCCCCCACCGGGCTTCTCTATTGTTCTCCTTATCAAACGCAGACTCCCAGGATCTCAGCTTCAAAGGCCTCCTGTAGTTTTCTCAGCTTTCATTTCCTCTCTAACCAGTCTGTATTCTTCCAGCCAAGAAATCCTTCATTCAGCCCTTTGATTCACTGTCCCCAGTCCTTCATCCATCCTTTTTCTTACACTTCCAACACTGGCTCAGACCACATTCAACAGTGACTTCGCCCCTGAAATGGGATTCAACCTCAACTTATTAGGTTAAATATCCAACTGCTTTTGTTTGCTTCTTTCTATTTTTAAATCTAATGCTATTTGCCCTGTACAAAAGAGATTATGAGATAGGACCAGGACCCCTGCATCAAATTTCTCAAGTATTTTAATCTTTCATGTTCAATCTGTTAGACCTCTAAGGGGCATAGCACAGAATGAGAAAAAGTATCTGCATTACATTTAAAGACAGAGAAAAACAGAGGCACTGTAGTATATTTTACGATTGCAGGTTGTAGGAATGTCCATTGATATTGCTTTAGGGACCATGACAGAAGCAGAAGATAGTGGGAATGTTAAATACTAGATACAAGATGAACAAAGACACACACAACCCCATATCACACCACTGAGGTAACAAGCTGGCAACGAGAGGTGAGAAGGAGGAACAGAGATGGATACAGGAGGGAGGGGAAACTGGGAAGCAAATGGGCACAGTATTCCCAGTAGGAATACAAGTCACTACAGTTCTTCCTACCAGGCAGAACACAGGCCATCTGACTATGTGCCAAGTGCTGAAATGGACACACAACATTAGCAGCACAAAGCACTATCTCATTAGACTTAGTTTCCAAAAGTCTGTTTTCTTTCCTCCAATAAACATTAGGATCAGCCTACTTATTTTGTTGCTCCCAACACTAATTCCAATGAAACTCCCAGTTACCATGTGAAAGGTTGGATTAATTGAATGACCTCATTTTCTTCATTGCTAAGAATACCTTTATACATTCTCTCATTCGAAAATACATTGAGTATCAAGGGTATCTTGTCAGAGAATATCCTGAAATAATGAGCTGTAGTTTCTTCATCTGTAAAATAAGGATAATAATTATGTAACTATTAGGTAGTATTGAAAATTAAATGAGACAGGGCACATAAACAACTTAGCAGTCATTGGCATCCAGCACGTGTGCAGTAAAAGTTAGCTATGATTATTGTCATTGTTATTATTACTATAAGAACCTTGATTTTAGCAGATGACAGTTGTCATTGTAACCTTACATGAACTTTAAACTAGAAAATTTAATTTTTAGACCAAACGATATTTATATGCCTTTTCTATCTTCCTATCAAATACAATGAATCTCACCGTTTTTCAGTTTTCCTGAATTCATGAAACTCCCTTCCAATTCTGAAACCAACAGGTTGCTGGCCTGTTTCCTCATCAACACCACAGAGGAAAAACATTAGCGAGGAAGGAAAAGTACTAAAGCAGAAGATATCTATTCCTTAGTCTGTTAAAAGGTGAGTCTGTTGAGTCATTACCCACAACTCCTATGGGTCCCAAGGGAGGACAGTTGTCATCAGAACAGCTTTTGCAACCTGCCCTTTCAAATGTTCTGAGATATTTGTTCTCTTTCTTCTTGACTTTTTGCTTTGCACTTCACATGCCCCCTCCATGAGCTCATTCACTCCTTTGATTTTAGCCCAACATACACAAATGACTCCCAAGCTCTTATCTCTACAGCTCAAGCCTCTCTCCTGAATTTCAGGGACCTACAATCAACTGATATGCCAGGAAATTTACATCTCCGAATGATTCTTTATCATAAACTATTCTTTTCCCTGTGGTCTCTACTTTGGCAAGCAGTGTGACAAATATGTTTCACCTTTTCCCAACCAACCACCTGGTGGTCATCCTTCCTTCCTTCTACCTTTGCTCTTCCCAGTGAACCACCAAATTCTCCACATGTGAGTCCTTGAGAACAGGGATTTTGTCTTATTTGCTCCTCAACCCCAGTGACTAAAACAATCCCCAGCACATAGCAGGCACTCCATACATATTTGTTATATAAATGAATAGTGCATAGTTACCACCCCATAACCATCTGCTAAATGAAGGACTGGATGCTTTAAGCTGCATTCTCACAAAACAGGAAGAACATACAAATTATTCTCCTTTACTTAAATGTTTCTAATAATTTCTTCTTATAAATAAGAATATTAAATCATATGATGCAGTTTTGTTTTCTATCAGAACAACAGGACATTATGTGTTTTGTTAGAATGTTCAAATGTTAGTCTTCTGGCTGTTGAGTTTCATAGTTAAACAAGAAGTTTTTCAGTCTTCAGACTTTATAAAAATCTGTAAAATCCCTCTATTCAAGTTATACTTAACAAGGGGTCTTCTGAAATGTGCGTTGAGAAAATTGGAAACAACTTAGTGACTCAAAAGAATAATATTTCATAAAATCCTATGGAGTAAAAAGCCAGATCCCATGGGGCCACTCACTGGGTGTATTAGGCAATTTCAGAAAACATTTTCAGAAAACTTCTTCAGATATGCTGTATGCTACTTGGTGGACAGAAGTAACTTGTCATATGTTGCCCACGACGTTTGAGTGGCTAGCCTCACTTTTCAATTAAAACGTTTTTATTTGAATTGGTTGTAGTAGAATAGGGTTCTAAAGGACTGATGTGCACTCTTGCTAGAAAGTATGTGGCCTTGCCTTTTACTTTGTATCAAGTCTGTAGTCAAATCAGCTTGCATTGCTTTGCTTCATAAAAATAGCATAAAATGTGCTACAAATAATACAAATAAATAAAAGGAAAGTACATTCATGCCCGCATCTGTGTTTGACTTGCAAAATAAAAGACTTCATGAAATAAAAATATTTTGAGGCTCTTTTATTTTTATCACTACTTATTCTGTACTGGGCAGATCTGAACACTACATGTTTTCTTCAATTAGAAGTCATCCAACAGGTGGACTTATTTTCAGTGCAAACTCTTAGCCAAGATTAAGCCATATATTTCATACATCTTGTTCAAGATGACTGAGAGCAAACCTCTAAACTTCTTTTTCTCCAGGTCAATATTTGCAGTTCTAGACTAAATAATCACTTTTTTTTTTTTTTTGGTACTGTGTTGAGATTTATTCAAACTGCCAACCATGAAAAGAAAAATAGAAACATTCCCAGGAAGAAGAGAGGGGTATATGCAGATAACTATTGGTTATCCATCACAAATTATAAGGTTAGTGAATAGTATTTGCTTTTATATACAATCATGTGCTATTTTTATATACATCTACATAGAACTATCCCTACACATCTACTCTTTGTATGAGATGAACTCATCCCTTCTTTCGTGGACTGAATGCTATATGCCTACCTTTAATTTATGCTATTAAGTGCCTGCAAGAGATGATTTTTAAATAAGTAGTTTTGCATACAGAACCAAGATTTGATTCCAACTTTGAATGCTATTAAGTTAAATGTACACAGAAATCCTTTTTTCTCCTTTTAAGATGTGTACACTATGTTTATGACAGTGAAGTCCTAGGTCTTTGAAACACTAACAGGCCCAGATTCAAAGGGGTTCAGATCACAGCTCAGTCAAGTTCCACCTCTACAATCTTGAGCAAATCACTTAATCTCCCTATCAGTTCTGTCATCTACAAAATTGGAAGTGCCTTAGTTCATTCAGGCTGCTAGAATAGAATACCACAGACTGGGTGGCTTAACCAAGAAACATTTATTTTTCACAGTTCCGGAAGGTGGAAGTCCAGGATCAGGGTGCACAGTGGCATTCTTAGTGAGGGCTCTTCCTGGTTTAGTCCTCACATGGCCTTCCTTGATGCATGTACAGAGAGAGAGAGAGAGCACACAAGAGCGACTCTATCTCTTACTCTTCTTCTAGGAGCACGTCTAATCCCATCATGGGGGCGCCACCCCCGTAACCTCACCTTTTGTTCTTTTTGTTTTTTTATTTTTTGAGACAGATTCTTGCTCTGTCACCCAGGCTGGAGTGCAATGGTATGATCTCAGCTCACTGCAACCTCCACCTCCTGGGTTCAAGTGATTCTCCTGCCTCAGACGCTCGAGCAGCTGGGATTACACGTATGTGCCATCACACCACTTAATTTTTGTATTTTTAGGAGAGATGGGGTTTTGCCATGTTGGCCAGGCTGGTCTCGAACTTCTGACCTCAGGTGATCTGCCTGCCTCGGCCTCCCAAAGTGCTGAAATTACAGGTGTGAGCCACGGCACCCAGCCCATCACCTCAACTAAACCTAATTATCTCCCAAAGTCTCCACCTTCTAATACCATCTTCTTGGGGTTAGGGTTTCAGCATGTAAATCTGTGGGTGGGGGATGCAAATACGCAGTTCATCACAGGAAGAATAACCATAAGCCTCACAGTGCTGCTGGGAAGAGCAAATAAGACCATGTATCTAAAGTGCTTAGCACAGCACTTATACATAATAAATGCTCAGCAAGTTACATACCATTATAACACTGTTATTATTAAACACTATTAGGAAAACACTACTACTTGAATTGCAAAGTCTGGCCATCATTTCTTCAGTTATTTTGTTTTATTCTGTTACTACCTTAACCATATTCACCAGAGTGCAGCATGGCTTAAAATTAATTGATTTTTTTATTCTACAAATCTTTAATCCAAACACCATTTCCATAGACCCCACCAGCCTCTAACACTTAGCTATTCCATCTTCACAATTTCAGCATTTTTCTGAGCTTAGTATTCATCACACACACTGATGCAATCACTTGTATATGTGTACATGTATTCCCATCACTCACGTTCCATTTTCATCCAATGTTTGCCTGTTTTCACAGATTGATTATCAGTAGAGAAGTGGAACCAAGGTAATAGCCAGGTCTGCTTGATCCTACAATGGCCATCTTCTAACTGTGGAATGTGTTTCCTTAGAGGTATACAAGGGCTTTCCAACGGTATATTACAGGCAGAGATAGTTTTAAAGGAATCAATTTCCACATCCTTAAATTCCCTCTTTTCTATAATTGCCTATCTGAGGGCACATGCAGGGTAACGTCATTAAGTATTTCCTTTCTTACTGCCCTTTTCACAATGTTCCTTTTTTCCAACTGACAAAAGAAAGGCACTTTATAAACATTTCAAACCTGCTATGGCACATGCTCCTGGGTGTAAAACATCTGGAGTTCCAAATACATAGACAATTTAAAATATTTTCCATTTTGCTATCCTGCCTCCTCATTCTCCAAACGTTGTCAGAGAAGATATTGTTCCTGAAGGAAAATCTTTGAAGGACAAAGTTAAAAAAGCACAAATAAACCCCGAAAGTAGAGGACCGGAGGCTCATTTCAGGCAACAAACTTATTTTATTCTGTCTGTCCGTCTGTCTACCAAAATACACATCTTAAAATTTGAAGTGAAAAGTGGGATTCTAAGCTTCTAGGTCCAGTTAAAATGGTGTAAAAATGTCCCATCTTACCTCCCGCTGTGATTGTAACGAAAAGTTGTGGACAGAATACACAAAGCAATTGTCTGTGGTATCCAAACAGTAAAGACCAGTAAGTGGACTAAGAAGGGAAATAAAAACTTTAAAAAAGAGTAATAAGGAGGTGAGCTTTCTGGTGTTTTTCCTTTTCTACTCATATTTCCCAATACAGAATGAATGCAACAAAATCATGGAACTGTGCAGCAGGCTTGACCAAGAGAAATTCTCTCCTTGGTCAGAGGAATAAGCAGAAGGGGCCCTGCAAAACCAAAGGAAGGGGAGTCCCCTGAGACATCTCCTCTCCTGACCATCCCTTGGAGGGGGCCCTAGAAGCTGTGCTCATGGAAGCTGTACTCATGCAACAGTGGCAGCAGCAGCCAAAGTTGCCTATTTGCCCCAGAGTTGGCTACAACAGCGCAAAAAGCTAAAACTACAACTTTTTCAACAGAGGACCAGGGCAAAGGGTCCCTGGAAGTCAGAGAGTTTCAGGGAGATCACAGAGAAGAGGGAGCTGGAAATGAAAGATCACACAGAGCTATGTATAAAGTCCTGGGTTTATCTCTCAGGTCTCCATGCATGAAAATGATCTGAAACAGAATACCAAAAGCTTTGAGAAGTAAGCAACAATGTAATCCATGGCCCAAGTATCAGACTGATCCCTGGGAAATACACTCATGGGGAGGATCCAAAGAGCACTACAAAGGCTTTGAAAACTGAATGGACATTGGAAACAAAGCCCTTAGAAGGCATAATGTGACTTGTGACTGGAAATTAACTGGGTCAACTGACTATGAAAAGAAACAAACACACAAACAAAATTAGCATTTTCCAGAGCATTCTAACAGGACCCAGAATATCATAATATTTTCAAAATGCCCAGGATATAAGTTAAAATTAACTAACATACAAAGAAGCAGGGCATTCTCAGCAACCCCTAAGTGAAAAGATAATTAATAGGCACCACCCCTGAAGTGACTTAGATGTTGAAATTATTTGACAAAGACTTACTTTAAAGCAGCTGTAATAACCATACTCCATGAAGTAAATGTCAACGAATTTGAAGTGAATGAAGGATAGAAGTTCTCAGTAAAGAAATAGCAACTATAAGAAAGAATCAAATGGAAGCTCAGAACTGAAATAAAATAGCTAAAATATTTTTAAAAGACACGAAATTGCAGAGTGAAGATGACAAGACAGAGTAAGTGAACCTATAGCTAAATTAATAGATATTATCTAATATGAACAAAAGAGAAAAAAGTTTTCAAAAAAATGAACATAACTTCAGGTACCTGTTGTATATTATCAAAAGGTCCAACATTGATGTCATTAAAAATCTAAGAAGGAAAGGAAGGAGAATGAGATTTGTACAGAAGAAATGTTTGAAAATTTAGTGGCTAAAGTTTTCTAAATCAAATGAAAGATATAAATTTAGACACAAGAATCTAAATCTTTGGAATTTTTTTGGAACCCAAGAATCTCAGCAGAACCCAGATAAGATAACCTAAGAAAAGAAAATCAAAATAATTACTGAGTGGAATGTATTCAGGAATGCAAGGCTAATTTAACAGTCAAAAAGTAATAAATGTAATCTCTACATTAACAAACTAAGGAAAAACTATATGATCATGCCAACTCATACAGAAAAGCATTTGATAAAATTCAACATCTTTCATAATAAAAACTCCTAGGAAATGAGATTTAGTTTATGGGATTACCTGATTAGGTCTACTGAGGATATTCTACCTTTCTTAAAGTCAGCTGTGCCAAATAACATAATCTAATTATAGGAGTGACTACAACATGATATTCAGTTCATCCCCACATTCAGAAGTGAGGGGATTATACAGAGTGAGTGCACCAGGGAACTGGAACCCTGGGAACCATCTTAAAACCATGTTTACCATAACAAGCAATGAACAATGGGAATTCAATGTTTTAAAATCAGTACCTTTTACAATAGTTCTCAAAGTATCTAACAAAATATGTGCAAGACCTATATGAGCAAATTATAAATGCCAACAAAAGAATCAAGAAAGACCTAAATAAATGATAAACCAAGTTCATGGCTTGAAAGACTTAATATTTTTAAGATGCTAAGTCTCCCTAAATTGATCCACAGCTTTAATACAAATCCAATCAAGATCTTCGGAACACTTTTTTTTTATAAACATAGACAAGCTAATTCTAACACTTATATAGAAAGGCAAATAACTACAACTGAAAAATAAATTTTGAGACATAACACAGTGGAAAAACTCACACTAGTAGATGTTAAGACTTAATATCAAGCCATACTAATCAAAACAATGTGGTTTAGTTAAGGAATGGGCACATAAATTAATGAAACAGAATAAACAGTCCAGATATAGACCCACGAG